AGCTGCATTTAGAAAGACTAATCGGCAGCAGTCTGTGGGATGAATTAGAGCTAGCAGAGGCTGGAGGCAATGAGGCCATTAAGCTGACAAGGATCTGAAGCCCAGTGTGGGAATGGAGCTAGAGGGGTGAGCGAATGCGAGGTAATGAAATTACCAGTAGTTCAGCTCTATGTGTATACGCTCGGTCCCTGCCTCTGTAGCCCTCTGCTAAAACCACCCTGTGGGCTGAGAAATGGAATGAGCAGAGAATGCAGCATGTAAGCCTTAACACAGGAAAATCACCTGGGTAGGTCCCAGGTTATACTGGTGATGCTACTCAAGACCATTTCTGAACCTGGTTGTGGGTCAGCTGCGGGCTGGTCTTCCTGCTTCATTTCCCCTCAAAATATCTATTTAGCAACTTGAAAGAAACCGCAGTAGAATTTTTAAGAGGTAAAACAACAGCTCAGAGACAAGCATTGTCTCGAGTATGGATGAACTGTTCATGGATGCTCCTGAAGCATGTAATGGTTCAGGGACCAGGTAAGAATAGGTTCTAGGGGTAGAAGCCCAGGTCTTCGGAGGCCAGATTTCATCTTAATGCAAAGAGGCATGGCTAACTTAAACAAAACCAAGTCCTAGTGCCCTGGCCATCAGGCACTTAGACTCTCTCCCCATCACAATCTATGATCAAGAAAGGATCTAGAGTAAAAGACTTATACAAAGAAAACTACAAAACACTATTGCAAGAAACCAAAAAAGACCTACATAAATGGAAAAACATACCAGGCTCATGGATAGGAAGACTTAACATTGTGAAAATGTCAATACTACCCAAAGCGATCTATAGATATAATGAAATCCTGATCTAAATTTCAACAACATTCTTTAATGAAATGTTAAAACAAATCTCCAACTTTATATGGAAAGGAAAAGAGGCCCCAGATAAATAAAGCATTATTGAAGAAGGAGAACAAAGTAGGAGGACTCACACTTCCTGATCTCAGAACCTACTATACAGCCACATTAGCCAAAACAGCCTGGTATTGGTACGACGACAGATACATAGACCAATGGAACAGAATTGAGAAGCCAGAAGTAAATCCATCCACTTATGGACAGCTTATCTTTGACAAAGGGTCTGAGTACATTAAATGGGGAAGAGACAGTCTCTTTAACAAATGGTGCTCGCAAAACTGGATATCCATTTGTAGAAAAATGAAACAGGATCCATACCTCACACCATATGGAAAAACTAACTCAAAATGGATCAAAGACCTAAATGCAAAACCTAAAACTATAAAGTTCATGGAAGAAAATACAGGGACAAAACTAGGGGCCCTAACTTATGGCACAAAAGACTATCAAGTATAACTAAAAATGCACAAACAGCAGAAAATAAACTGGGACCTCCTAAAAATTACGTACTTATGCTCATCAAAAGACTTCTCCAAAAGAATAAAAAGGAACCTACAGACTGGGAAAAAATTTTTGGCAACGACATATTTGACAAAGGTCTAATCTCTAAAATTTATAGAAAACTTCAACACCTCTACAACAAAAAGACAATCCAATTGAGAAATGGACAAAAGACATGAACAGACATTTCATCAAAGAGGCATTCAGGCCGCTAACAAACACATACTCGCAATCATTAGCCATTAAAGAGATGCAAATCAAAACTACAATGAGATATCATCTCACCCCAATATTACTGGCACTGATCAAAAAAACAGAAAACAACAAATGCTGGAGAGGTCGTGGAGAGACTGGAACTCTTACACAGTGCTGGTGGGAAAGTAAAATGGTATAGCCACTATGGAAAACGGTATGGTGCTTCCTTAAAAAGGCAGATATTGAAATACCATATGACCAAGCAATCCCACTCCTAGGAATATACCCGAGAGGAATAAGAGCTGTGACATGAATAGACACGTGTACACCCATATTCACTGCAGCATTATTCACAATAGCAAAGAGATGGAAACAACCTAAGTGCCCATCAATGGATGAATGGATGAACAAGTTGTGGTATATACATACAATGGAATACTATGCAATGATAAAGAATAATGATGAGTCTGTGAAACATCTCACAACATGGATGAATTTGGAGGACATTATGCTGAGTGAAGTAAGTCAATGAGACCACTATTATGAAAAATCAAGAAAAGGTTTACATACAGAAAGAAACATTCTTTGATGGTTACCAGGGAAATTCGGTCTCCTTTTAGTAAAGACAACATTCAAATACTTTGTTCTTTGGCAATAAAAAACATCAGTAACAGGGGTTCTAAAAATAATTTACTGGTGATAAAAATCAAATGGTTACTTTTTTGGGACTTCAGTGAGTCAAGTCAACATGTTTCCTTTTGTCTTTCTTCCAAGAAGTGAAAATTCCTGACCAGACATGGCCATAGCTGAATGTCACCTCACTCAAGCCTGAAAATAAGTGAACACTACCAGTTTCCCTTGTAACCTATTTATTACATTCCCTAAACCAGATGGCTATGTTAAATAAAGCTGTAGAAGTTGAATATCCTTTTTCAAGGAATTTTGTCTCTAGAGTTTCCTCTCAAAGAACCAGGGGGCCAGGGAAACTGCTCACGATTCAAGCCCGATTATCACTACCTTCAGTGTTGTTAAGACCAAACTCTTTCATATGTAAAAAAAAACAGAACAACTCAGAATTCTCACATGAATTTCAAATATATACTTCTCAGATTATGCAAATTAAGATTCAGAAAGAAAATTTCTGAGATTGTCTAAATCCTTCAGAGCAGTGAATAGAACAGATACAGGGCATTATTGCAAATAGAATAATCACAACAATAGTAACCCATATTGAGTACCCACTATATTCCAGGCATGGTGCCATAGTTTTTCTATGGATCATTTCCTTTAGTCTTCACAATAACCTTCTGAGGTAGTTATAATCATTCCTGGTTTACAGATGAGAAAACTGAAGCTTAGAGGGTTAAGGAACTTTCCCGGTGTCACATGGCAGGTAAGTGCCAAAGCCAGGATTTAAGCCCAGGTCTGTCTGACTTTAGAGCACATGTTCTTAGACAACTACACTGTATTATTTAATGAATGTTATCCTCAGAAATTCTACGACAGAGAGGCTTTTGAGAGTCCTATCAAGGACTCAGACAAGACCATGTTGTTGCATGCCATCAAGTCGACTCAGGCTCATAGTGACCCTATATAACAGAGCAGAACTGCCCCATAGGGTTTCCTAGCCTATAATCTTTATGGGAGCAGATCACCAGGTCTTTTCTCCCACAGAGCAGCTAGTGGGTTAGAAATGCTTAGCAGCCAAGCACTTAACCACTGCGCCACGAGGACTTCTTAGATAAGACCATAGTTTTTCTTCTTTGACCCTTCTGCTTTGTCATCTCTGGCTCCCATGAGGAGGCCTGGTGGAGGCATGTGTGAGTGAATGAGTGTGTGTGTGCTGAGGAGGATGGCAATGACCCATGAGGAGGCCTGGTGGAGGCGTGTGTGAGTGAATGAGTGTGTGTGT